ATCAAATAAAAGAGCAGCACACCAAGCCTACCTCATCTATAGTACAAAAAAAGCACAGTAACCACGTCGCGTATAAAAATACATTTGGGGGCCAAGGCAATTTCAAGACAAACTAGCACATGACAAATTTCTAATGTCTCCCGAAAAAGTTATCTTTACTGCCATATTGAGAGACAAATACAAGATCTGTGAACCTTTTACTGCCCTGGTATTTGATTTTCTAGATTGTCATGATATATAAAGTATGTTTCTTAACCACCGTAATGCATGTTCTTTTTAATGGCCATTTTCTGTTTTGATATGATGTAATACTTAATTTTTGTTTTTCGCTGCAACAATTTAACAATTTATTCAAAAAATATTTCCTTGTCTTCAAGGAATTCCTTTTAATAGCCATTCTACATGGTATTGAAATTTTAAAATAAAAAATAATCAGTTACCGTTTTATATGTTTGCAAATTAAGTAAAAAAAGAAGAAACCCCTATGTGTTGTTCTATTAATGTATATTTGTAACTTTTTTCAGAATGTCCATCTATCCGCTTATCTATCAATCTCTCTGAATGCCAAGCTGTAAAACAGAAAATGTAAAGAAAATACAGAGGGTAAAATAATGATTGGTAAAGGAAAAATGGAAATATACTTTAGAAAGGAAGGATGAGTTGAGAGAAAAGAAAGAAATGCTAATCTTCATTTTTAATGAAAACAAAGGTTAAAAGAAGAAAATATAGGTAAAGTCGTAAAGCTGTTTGCTGAGGGATTTGACTGTAAGCTAAGATCTGTCAAATCAATAAAGACGGATCTATTTGAAAATGGCGGAGTGGCTTCCATACAATAGATGAGAGATACGTTTAATATTGTCAGTAATATTATACTAAATAACAAAATGGCAAAGATGTAAGAAGAAAAGAAATGAAGAGAATATAGGAGAAAAAAGTGAATGTGTAAGAGAGCAAATAAGAGGAACAAAACAAATGTAAAATATAGCAATATCTTATGTTGCAAAGAGAATATAGAGGATAACGACAATAAGAAACAGGTGTGATAGCTAATGGATGGTACCGGGACGTTTTAATTAAGTTAAAAATAAAGTACATGGCAAAGTAAAGTAAAAGGTATAAACGAAACAGTAATTAAAATTTAGAGACTAAGGTTGAAAAAAAGAAAACAAAAATGAAAGTATAATGAAAGTTACATTACTACCTTTTGACTTACATAGTTACGTGTTCCTTGCAGATGAAATGGGGCAAGAATTGATAAAGCTCCAGTTTTCAATGTGGACTTTAAAATGAAGTAAATATAGTTTCGTTCCAGTCTTTCTTCCTGCCTTTCTGTCTTCTGTATGAATGAATAAAAATAAAATATAAAGAAGGCAAAAGCGAATGATGGTTACAAAGTGGGTATCAAAGCAAGAATCAAAAGACCAAATGAAAAACACCCGAGAGGTGACTTCGAATACAGAAATAAAAAAAATGAGTATCTCACATCAAGAGAAATAACGAAATGAATCAGTAAGAAAATAAAATATAGATACACAGAAGTGGACGGAAGCAAAATAAATCAGATACTGGAAAAAAGAAGTAGCGTAGCTTTCTCTTTCATTCATCATTTTACTGACTGCTAGATTTAGATACGAGACATTTTGACGGCATATCTTCCCCAGGCTTTACACATTGACAATCCAATGTAAGAACTGATACTGTAGTATGACGATGCAATAACCGCAATACTTTCGTTTCCCTATTTAAATATACGGTCAGAAAACACATACAGTACCATGTACATACGCTCATATACGCATATTTATTTACACATATATACGCACACACATACACAGATACGTGAGTGAGTGAGAGAGAAAAGTTAAAACAATCGAAACATAAACAGCTCCACACATATAGAGGTTATTTATATATTAACTAGCAGTAGAGCCCGGCGTTGCCCGGGGATGTAACAGTAAGAGTTGGGGACGGCTGTTGCTTTGAAAGATGTGCTTTGTAAGTCGACAGGAACTAAGTTTCTACAAAAAGTTGAAACGCTATGCACACAAAGTTTAGGCAGACATCATGCAGGCCCATGTATTCGAAGGTATCGAAAGAAGTAACGGAAAGCCGTTTGCCATTACTAAGACAACTATGAGTAAAAGCTGGCAGCAGTTACTGCTTTAACCTATTGGATCGTTAAGCATTACTGAAAGCACTTGTGGTAAGTAGTCCTGAAACCACGATTCAGTTGCAACATACAGAGGGATTGAAGGGAAAACAAACGCGATGATGGCGGGTGATGGTATGAAAGTCAGAAGGCAGCAAAAGAGCTGGATAACCTTTACAAAGACGTCTTAGTAATGGCAAGTGGAGACTACGATGACCTAACGTTAAAACCAATATGACAAACAAAAAAATTGCCATGCAATCGGACTGCATATGTGTGCATGGTGCGTAAACGCTACCGGGCGGGTTGTCTACAGGACCTCCGTGTAGGTTATGTTTCTAGCACAGTTGTTGGGAGAGTAAATGAAAACCCTGTCCTTAGACTCAACTCGTGAGCACCCAACGTAAAGTTGGCCGTGAGAGAAGCACTGCTCACGTAAATGCAGACCTGCGATGCTAAGCGTCTGTCCTTGTGATTTGTTAATCGACATAGCAAAACAAATCTTCACGGGAAATTGTGAGCGACGAAAGTTGATTGGTATGCTTGCGTCTGACGACAGAAGATGCATCCTGGGAATCAGAACGACTTCCCCCTTGCCGCAGCCAGTTGCAATGGTCGCCTCAATCAGGTTCGGAGAAAGGGATTTAATAATGAGGCGAGTCCCGTTGCAAGTTTGTGGGAGCAAATTCCTGATTAGCATAATCGGAGCACCAACTTTGAGCCGAAGAATATGAGGTGGGAGTCCGGACGGCTGAAGGGAGTTCAAAACTTCTATGGGATAATCAGCTAATTCAGATGGATCGGAAGTTCTGTCGATGGACTTATAAACATGACATTGCCCGGAAATGCAATCCAACAGTTTAAGGTTGATGGAATCAACTGTACAGTTCTTCGGTGCCAATATGGCCCTCCCAGCAAGCCAATCGGCATCGGCAAAATTAGATGATAGGTTGTAGAAGACTGCATTCATCAATACATCCAGTGATTCAACAGTGGTGGCAAGCTGATCCATCTCAACAAAACCGTGTGTGTCAGATGGCATTTTTCCCTCCCCAAGAGCAAGAAGGTCCCGTGCGAAGTCAGCGGATCTGGAGTCCCCATTCAAGTAGGCACGCATGTTCGTGCTCAGTTTAAGAGTCTCCACGTGGTGCCAAAGGGCAGACGACTTCAGGCAGGCGTGGACAGCGTCAGTGCGTGTACCTTTAGGAATAACAGGTAGAGTCTGTCTAAAGTCGCCTGCGAGGAGAAGTGTTACTCCACCCATGGGGTCGGAGGAGTCGCGGATGTCTTGGAGACTTCGGTCAAGTGCCTCAAGGGTGCCCTTGTGTGCCATCGTGCACTCATCCCAAAATATAAGTTTGCATCTCCGCAGAACTTCAGCCTGTGGCGAATTCTTTGTTATGTTGCAGAGAGGAGTTTGTGACCGGCATAGATCAAGCGGCAACCTAAAAGCCGAATGAGCGGTTCTATCTCCCGGTAGCAATGTTGCAGCAATCCCGGAAGATGCGACCGCAATAGCGATCTCCCCACGACGCCGTACCTCTGCCAGGACTAATTTAGTAACAAAAGTTTTGCCAGTTCCTCCGGGCGCGTCTAAAAAGTATATACCTCCAATGGCGCCGTTTGCCCTGTCTGTTATAGTAGTGAAAGCAACCCTCTGATCAGGTAGAAGTTTGGGCTCATTTTCGGTAATGTATGCATTCAGCCCCTCGATGGAGTAGGATGTTTCCCGCAATAACTCAGTTGGTACAGTGTCAAAACCATCTCTGAGCGGTGGTGGTAAACCGTAAGTTGGTAAAGAGGCACCTCCCAGTTCGAAAACAACATCTTCTAGGGTCACCAGCGCTCTGTTGAATATGAAGTCAGTGAAACTGCATTCAACTCCTGGGCTGTTACGCTGAACGGAGAACAGCACATCCTCTGACATGGATTCTCTGTACTTTAGTCAGAGCGACAGAGGATCGCTTAGTTCGCATCGCAAAAGCAAAATGGCGAATAGCGTTCGAAGCCGTGATGGCGTTCTGAGAAGTTCAGCCTCCGCCATGTCTGCATCCCATTGGGAGTCGTCTTCAAGGAATCCCAAACGGAAGCATGCCTCTCTATAAGACTGGCATTCTATGCCTTTGACAGTGCGAATATCTGTGAAACTCATTGGCCCAGCAAATTCATGAAGTAGAAGGCGGAGGTAAAAGCACTCCTGCTGGCTGGGGGGCACAGTATAAACTCGTCCAAGGCAAAAGTTAGACCTTACATCGGGATAACCCTCGACAGGGTCACCAGCCTTTCGTCGAACCCACCGGTTGTTCGACCACACATAGTAGGACGGGACTTGGGGGTATATCAATGTTTTGGCAAAAGCATCTGTTGAGCATAATTTAAAGAAAGCCGTTAGGGTTGTGTCTTTAGGGTTTTCCGCAACCTGCTGGGCGTTTTGTTCGGTGAAGTACATCCTCTGTCCATTTTCTAAGTGAACAACAAGCTGCACAATGGCTGGAGCCCTTTGGTGTATGGGGAATCCGAAAATTCGCCAAAAGGCCTCGCTACTTCTGAGATAGCGTCCAGCCACGTAATCGGCCACCTCATCAACGCAATTGTCGCGCCGAATACCGAAGACGGCAGCATCGCTGCCTTATTTACGTACTTGCAGATGTACTTTATTGACTTAACCGAGTGGCAGTATTCAACGTTTATGTGGGCTCCAAAAGTCTTGGACAGCAGCGGGCAATAAGGCACCACCCAACTATTGTCCAGAGTGTGCCCCTTAACTGTCACAGTTCTGCCGCCTCAGCGGGGGCTTCTACGTCTGTACAGTGGGTAACCATCCGTCGCAGTCTGCGTTTCTGAGATAAACTTACGGGGGTAACCCTTTGTGCAAGTGGGGCCGCTTGACCAACATGACCTTTTTTCGTAATTCGCGCCACAGGGGTTGTGTATTTTTTTTAATGATTTCGTGGAGAAAAGGATCCAGCGCTAGATCCGGAATTTCAGCAGAAATAAAATCGTCTATTTTGTTTGCGTCAACCTTATCGTTGAGCCACAGCAGAATGTGGGCATGAGGCAAACCGCGTTTCTGCCATTCCACTGTGTACATATGACACTTGGCGCGTCCGAAGACTTGCCCTTTAAGGATCAAATCCATAAGCTTACGCAGCTGTAACCGGAAAACGCGGGCAATTAGGTCAGGGCGGTGTGAGTACTGCTGGCCTGGAAAAAGTTCGCGTGTGATTTCAACCCATTTCGGATTGCATGTGAACGTGATGAACAAATCAGGCCTCCCACAATGACGGACATAGGTCATTGCGTCTTGTGTCATTTCATGCATGTATCGAGGCCACCAGTGTAAGAGGAAGGCAAAATGCACGGTTTGCCGAGATTGCGTGGGTCACCATCAGAACGCAGACCATCACGAAGGTGAATGTAGGAGTCAGTTCGATGTTTGGATTGGTTTAACTTGATGAATCCTAACCTCTCCGACTCCATTTTTGCAGCCATGTCAACAGCGTATTGAAGAAATAGTTGACGGCACCTGTGCAAAGTGGTTAAATTCGCCCACCCTAACCTACATATAGGCGTAGTAAGCCCTACAGGAGATCGTCTTTGAGGTCGACATGGAATGGCTGCTTGCCTCGTATATTGGGATTTTGAAGTGGTACCCATCGCTTCCGTATGGAAAAAGAAGGGGGTACTGGAGACAGTCGTATGAACGGTGGGTTTCACTGATGCGGCGCAGACCACCGCCCCGGATATTTTATAACAATGTCACGGCTGTTATGCTCCTCACCGTTGATGACTGCGGCAATTTCATTACATACAGGAGCATTGAAGCTTCGGATGTAACTGTTAGTTTCGTGAAGCATGTCTTGTAGACGGAACAGAATGTCTCTACGGGGACCGATGGAAATATCGCTAGGCAGAATGCCGAGACGCGCATCAACCTGCTCGTTGTAGTCTGCGAGAAAGTAAATTTGTAGGAACTGAGGTGGCTCTCCCTGATCAGCCAAAAGTGATCCCATTAAGTGGTAAACCTGGCCTTGCACTTTGAAAGTAGGCATCCATCCCCCTTCACTAATAGCCTTCGCACCAAAAGACGTCATCTGGAAGCAACAGTTATACTTCCGTATTGCTTCAAAAAAATGCGTTGACTCCGAAGTTGTATCCAGAAGGAGGGCCCTAAGTGGCTGGGGAGGCTCGTCTAAAGAAGGGAGTTTGATTTTGCCCCCAGAGCAACAAAGCCCAGGTTGCTCACCGGCCCACTTTTGTGCGTTGCAAAAAGTGCAAACTTTATCCATGGCCCATATTTGTACGTCTCTCCTAGCGGAATAGTTGACAGTGCAGTCATAATTGTATGCGACATTTGACCAAAATGATGCAGACGGCGAAGTTACGCCATTCAAAGAAGCTCGAAATGAGCTAATGTTTTCGAGCCGTTGACGGCGTACTTCAGAGTTTTCTGCAACCCTGGCAGATGCAGTAGAGCAGGCATTTCTAACGCGACGAACAGTGGTCTGTGCACGTCTTTCTAGGGCTCTAGCAGATGCAGTGGAGCGGGCATTTATAATGCGACGAACAGTGGTCTGTGCGGGGCTTTCTAAGGCTATGGCAGACGCGGTGGATAGGGCATTTCTAAAGCGACGATGAGCGGTTTCTTGGGGTTGTTTCGAAGCTCTAGAGGCGGCTGTAGCCTTAGTATTCATAAGACGACGTGAAGTTGTTTGTTCGGGGCTTTCTAAACCCCTGGAGCAAGCTTTGGCGGTGGAATCCCGCAAACGACGAAGGGTTTTCTGTGCTGGGGACTGTGAAGCCCTCAACCTAGCCACGCAGACTGTGTCCTGCGAATTCTGAAGTGAACGTTCTTCAACTGAAAGCCTGGCGCGGCGTGCGGACATGGTTGAAGCCGTTGAAGCCAGCCTTTCAGTCCGCACAGCGGCGCTTTCCGTAGATAAGCGAGCAGCTGATCTCGAGGCCATCGGTGAAAGAAGCAAAGAAGTCTGTTCAGGGGTTTCACTACCCCTCGCTGCTCTAGCATCGGAGACAGCTGCCGTTCGCCGTTCCAAAAGTTTTAGGTGGCATCCAAACAGTAAAAACGTCAAAGAAAAAAGAGATTTCGACAAATCCAAAACGAAAAAACGTGAACTGCTAACGTAGACACAAAAAGGGGAACACCCAGTAAAATGAGTTCAGATGTTACTAAAGGGGAACTGTAAACAATAAAAGTGCAAATCTCAAAAGGTATACCAAGGGTAAATCCAAAAGGAAATGGGTTTTTAGTACAATTGGCTAACGTGTGTGGGGTTCGATTGGAACTATAAAACAAAAAAGCAGCTAAAACACGTAATCAACAACTTGCGGTGTCCGAAGTAGGCGAATAAAGTAAGCCAAGTACGTGCACGCGGGCAACAATAAACGCAAAAAAGTGAAAAGGTGAAAGCACACAAGGACCTGTCGTCTGCTTACTATTTTGTAACCAGCGGAAGCATATTTTGTTCGTGATTAAAAGTAAATTATTCACTCCATAACATTACATGAAGCAGCCGGTCTGATCTCATTGTTGTCGATGTCGCTTGGAAGTACGTCTTTCGCTGTCTGCTTATTAGAAATGTGTTGAGGTGTGCACATGCTTCTAGCACATAGAATAACATCTGCCCAAGTTTGGTAATAAAAATCAGAAACGTAGATTTCACTTTCTTGAAGTCTGTGTGTATGAATAGAAAATGAAAAAACAGAATCTTGTGAAGACATCCTTTGCACTCATGACATCATAGAACAGTGCAACAACATTTTACATCTTCAGTTTACTTCTCTGTCATTTCTTTGATTCTCACTTTCACTTATATTTGCTTTTCTTTTCAAAGATTTGACTTTTATCTCTTTTCTCTTACCTTCATCTTTTCCCTTTTCTTTCATTTTACTTTGCTTTTACCATGAAGTTTTGATTTCACTACAGACATTTTGAAATTCTTTCTCATTGTTTCCCTTCCTGCACTCCAGTTTTCATTCCTCTAATTTCTTTTTAATTTCCTTCCCTTTTTATCTGAATTTTTATTCCCTGCTTATTTGTGTCCCTCCCACGATATTAAGACCTCGTTTTTCTTTCTTTCTTTCTTTCTTTCTTTTATTTTGTCGTTTGTCCTTATATTTATTTTTCGATTCATTTTTCTTCTGATATAGTCGTTTATTTTTTGAGTTTCATTATTTTTTGTCATATCTTCTATTGCAAGTAAAATTTAATGTAATCATTTTGTTTCTTTCGTCATTCACAGATAGATTCAACTCGAATTCTTTTACCCGTCGGCTCATTTTTGTTACCTGATACCTAAATTCTTTGTAGAACAGAAGGTCTTCTCGCGGGCAATTCTTGGAAATTAATTGGATTTGTCTGATAGAAGTTCAGTTTAAAACAGAAAATTATCACGTTTGCTACCTGCCTTCAACCATCTCCAAAACTAACCGCATTTTCTAACATACCTGTGATATTTTCGTTAATTCTTTTGTGTTATTTTATTTTAGGAATGACTAAGTGTCATACATATAAAAAAAGACACATAAAAAATACATATAAAAAGACATTAATTCCTGTGTGCTCTCATTTGTGTAGTTATATAAATGTCTTTTGAATCAAATAAAATGTTTAGAAGACCTAAATAAAGTTTAAAAAGCGGTACGATTTTTCGTTTTGTCTACAGATATTTTGTATTTGTTTTTAGTAAGATTAATTTATCATTCTTTACAAATCCTTGTAAGTGATAAACCTTATGAAGAATGAGATAAGAACTCCATAAATGAGAAAAGTGGAGAAAAGAAAGAAACTGTTTTCTTGTCACCAAAATGAGATAAAATATATTATTTCCTTTTGTATTTTCGTTTTGTTTTTTATCACAACCCTTCAGCTGACGAATCTAGTAATCTACAGAAAATTATGAACCGAAGCATATATTCCAGCTTAGGTGTATTTTGTTCTCAACCGTCACTTTCTTTCACATTCAGTAACATTCGTATGAATTTCAGAACTCTTAAGCTTTCTTCCCAGACGCCAAATTAGAGATTTGGCCAAAATTAGGGTTAGGTTTAGCGTGAAGATTTAGGGTTAGGGAAAATATTACAGTTATGGTAAATTTTACACCTTTACTAAAGTTGTAGTTAGAAATAAGCTTAGGGATATGATTTTGTTTAAAGTTTCATTAGTGTTAGAGTTAAGGTTACATTAATAGTGTTATTATAAATATAGGTTTTGATTTACATATTTGTTTTTTTGTTACGCTTGCAGTTAGGATGGCAGTTTAGTTAGTCTTATAGTTAATGATTAGGATAGAGTTACATAAGCTTGGTTAGTGTTAGTGTTACCCTTACAGTTTTAGTTAGTCTTAGACTTAGGGCTTAGTTTAAATACTTGGTTAGTCTTAGAGTTTGGGTTAGAGGTAGATTTTCAGTTTTGTATAGTCTCGGTGTTAGATGTAGGGTTGAATTCTTTGATATGGGTTAGATTTTATATTAACCATTTAAGTTTTGTTTAGGGACAGGTTTAGCATAATCTTTACAATATTGGTTAATAATACAGATACGAATAGGCTAAGATTTATAGTTTTAGTTAGTCAGAGAGTAATAGTTAGGTTTATGTTTATTTTTGTTTTTACAGTTATTGTTACGGATAGCGTTTCCTTTTTACTATTTCTTAGAATAAGTATTAAAATTATAATTTTAGTTTTTCTTAAAGTTCGATTGACATTTTGATTTGTATTTGAAATTTGTTTCTTTAGGTTAGGTTTAATGTGGGAGAAAAATGCAACCATAACACCTACCACAGAGTAGCAGAATCGCATAGCATGAAGGTCCATCTACAAGTTATGATATGGAAATTCTAAATGGGGATATACATCGGAAGCAAATAGGACCAATGCAGTGACTTACCTCCAGAAGAAATGTTAAATTTTCCACATTCTGCTGCGTTATCATTGTACTTGACGTAATTAAATATTTTAATGACTCATATTTTTCCTTCATACAATGATACAAAAAAATATTGTGCTCAGATTTTGTAATTTTACTTTGAATAGCAGCCGAATTTTTACTTACATGTAAGGCCTGTTTAATGGAGTCTGCTTATTTGGAAAATTTCATCTTTATCTTTCTATGAACGTAACTCTTGAAGCTTGAACTGCGAGAAAATATTTTAATGATGATTGACTTTAATCATTTGCTACTAATTTAATTTTACTTATCCTCTGACCGAAAGTGAATATCAACCTTATTTGAAGTCCGCTTGTATAACAGTAAAATGATCTGTCAATATATTTATTAATAAAGATTTATGGTCCTTTTACATGAACCCGTTTCTGAAACCGTCATCATGTACTTATCAATTTTAATATCCTTCCCAGGATCTATGAAGATAGTAAATGTGTTGTTTATTTTCACCAAAATTCAAAACATTCACGTTTGGTTGGATCGATTCCCCAATTTGTCTAATTTGTCTTGAATTGTAACAGTTCACATTATCACTTTTTGTTGATGTAAGACTTGTGCTCAGTGATCTGAGACCAACTTGACAAAATGGAACATACATAGTTAACCACAATATGAGTTTCTGACGATCGTTATTATCATGCATGCGTCCGCTTATCTCCTATCTCTATATACTGCTCACTTGTGCGAGACCTGTAAACAAGGAAATGGAATCAAAAACTTCTACACATATACTCAGAATCCACATTAAGTTTACTGTTTCTGTAAATCTTTGATCTCTAGTAATATCTACTTAGTCTTTAACGAGTTTTCTTAGAGGAGATGGCTTTGTTATATTGTCTATATCATTATTTTTCATTTTCATGATGATTTTGACGATCAGGCATACGAAAATAAAAAGGATCTAAATGTAAACGAGTCACTGTTTGTATTAAAGTTTCCGTGCTTGCTGGTCGAGGACATCTACTTTTTAAACAAGCAATGTCCAGTAATATTTATGTTTAAGAAAGGCCTGTTTAATTACAAAAAATATTTGTGGTCTGTCTTTTACATAGTTATGATTTAATTTATTGAATTATTTGTACCAATTTCCTTACATTTTGATTTAATCACCACCCAATAGCTAACTTCTCAATGTATAATGGAATTTAATGATAAGCATCAAATCTTACATTTCTTTTTAACTATATGAAAATTTATTCATTCATAAAGCAAAAATATGAAGTTTTCGTTTTTGTAGCCTCTGATGTGTCTTCGTTCCCGTTTTTTCTATCAATGTATACGTTAAAATAATTATATACTCCAAAGGAAATAATTATATACTCCAAAGGAAATAATTATTATGTACTGTCCGAGAGTTTCATTGTCTAAATACGAATGAGCCTCTAGAAGCAACGACTCTTATTCTATTATGTTCGAACATGGCATAAGAGGTTAATGTTAGCAGAAAGGTTGAACCTTCTCACCAATAACCTATATACTATTACATCTATTGTTTGGTACAATTGCATGTGATATCCATTGAGTCTTTCTCTACGTTTATAGGGACCAAACATTTGATGCGAGTACTTTTAGGCAGTAATTAATACGCTTCAACAGTGGCAATAGTGATGCATAGTGGGGGCTACACTTCTGTGGGTCATACAGGGGATGGTCTTGATAATCGGCAGCGTCGGAATTTGTTTTAGTATGCAATAAGCAAATAAACCTTAATAAAAGTGAACCGAAAAATTATTTAAAGAGCTAAAAAGGGCGAAATTGATACACAAAGTAGTCTGAATAATTTCGTGGTAGTCGGAAAAATTCCTTAAAAGACAAAGAAAACCCACTCCCCCTTTGTCTATCAGGCACCTAAGAGTATATAATTAATTTGCGCCAATTTATATTTCGTTTATCATTATCATCAGAATAAAGGGGACTGTCAGCGCAGCTGTTTGTAATCAAGTCGCCTAATTTGTGTTTTAAGATATTTGTCTTCTTTATTAAAGAAACTGAAACGAGAAGCGAATAAATCGCAAAGTTTATTAGTTACTTTGAGTCACTGAATAATATTTCTGATTATATACAGTTTACAGTTTTCACCCTTTGGAATTTTCTCTGTCCAGACAGTAGCTTGTCACCCCGAAGGTGAACAGTAATCAATTACTTTGTACAATTAATCTCATCGTTTACTGGATCCTTTTCGTATGTCGACATAATGGCTGCGCCTGGTTTGTTCAACATGGCCACTGTGCATACAGAATGTAATAGCAGTTGTGATTTTCTTTCGATGATATAGGGGAATATTTGATTGGAAACAGATTTCTGGCACCGGCTTCGACATCCAACGTTAAGTACTTATTGGCTATTTTCATTACAACATTGTTAATTGTTGCAGCTAACGTCATCATAGTCGCACTTTTTTATTATCATCGACAACATCGTCTTCAGCTTTTTCGCTTTACTTTTATTCATAACAATTCTACCAATATTACTGCAATTATTATTATTATTATTATTGTTGTTGTTGTCAGTTTATTCATTGAAATATAATTACTAAATAAATAGAAGAAATTTGTAGCAGCAGCTGAAAGTTTTAATTTTCTTGATATTCTCCTGATTGTTATGATTTAATTTTACATTTCTACAGCAGATATTTACATCTTCACCCATTATGTTTCTGGTGAACACCGTTGCAGGTGATAAAGTCGCATTATTTTTAGTCTTTACACTTTGCATAACTTTACTATATTTTAATTGGAAATGAACAGGAAGGTCACTTTCATATGACAGAATGTCTGCTCCTTTCTGTTTACGTTTCACCTTTTATTTAACCACAACAGGATTCTTATCTCGGATTTTGGAAGGTTTATCTTAATTATAAAATCTTAAAATGTATTTCGTTCTTAATGTCAAATTTATTGTTTAATCAAATCCATGGCATTTTCATGATACTTAATGAATCACGCCATTGAACTGTTGTTTCATATTATTTAGGCCGAAGTAGTTTGCCCCATTTATTAATAATACAATGATTCACACTGGTCGTGTGAAGTGTTACTAGAAATCGAGTGACAGTAAATCTCCTCAGTACTAAAATAAAAAAGACCATCAATGTTGTTAATTGAACATTATTAATGTTCCTCGAATTTTCTGCTCTTCCTTTTTTTTTTATTAGTCTTTTGATACTGTTCAAGTATCAATGTGTACGGTCATCAACTTCCTATTTCATTTTTTTTATCTTAACTTCTCTTAGATGTTTCTTCAAATTTTCTATTTTGATTTTACTTTGTCGTCTGCTGGAACAATGAAATTAACTGTCTGACGTTTTATTCTTGTTGTTTACCACAACTAGATCTGCTTTTCGATCTGGATTAGATGATCCCAAAGAGTTTTAACATTTGTATTCTTTATAGCAGATTCTCATTTGTATATATATCTTTCGTTTGAATGGTCAACTTTCAGTCATTTGCATAATTCACCATAGATCCTTCTCATACCCTGTTTTGCATTTTTTCATGATTAATTGCTCCTTTCACTTATTAAGTGATTGATTGGCTCATCTCTGCCTTTACACAGACTATGGTTGCTATTTTCCTATGATTTGTAAGTCTTGGATTGTAAATTACGGAATATTGTTTTTGTTCGGGGTACTTATTAATAATGATTCAGTTCACCTTTTCAGATATACTCATTACAAACATATTCTTTTGCCATTTAATTAAATTTTTAAAATTGCCATATAGTGACTTTTGTTTTAATTTTTGGTGCATCATTTGGATGTTTCCCTCTCATTTATTCATTTATCTGCTCAGTTAGTTTCAAGCTCGGGAGGTGGAATTATTTTTATGACTTTGATTTATATTTTCCTTATTTCTTGATAATATAATTTTCATTGCTGACTCTTTCACTTTCTTTTTCACACATTTTACCGACATCGTGTGAAGTATCGTATTCAATCTCATAAACGTCTTCGTATTCCAGCTGACACATTTGCATCGCTTTTCCAGTTTGGGGAGGGGATTGAAGTAAAGCAGAATTTTAAAAGATTTATAATATAAATTATTATAATTAAAATAAAAAATGAAAATAATTCTTGTAAATATTATTCATCGAATTTTTTTTGTTAAGACAATAAATCTTATTTATAAAAGCAATTAAAAAACATTCTAATTAAATAATGCCATAGTTTTATTGCATTTTTCATTTTACGATACACAGAAAATTTTCAGCAACTGGGGGTGCTGGTTTACAACCCCCCTCCAAAAAAAAATACCAAAATAAGCAAAAACAAAACAAAAAACAAATTGATGATTGAAATTCTCCAAGGAGTCCTGCTTTTAACTAATAAAACATATTTTGTGATTGAAATGTATTTTCAAGAAATTTCATGAAAGTAATTAAGTTGAGGGATAACATATGTAAAAAAAATGTTTAAGATCTAAAAAAAAATAATTTAATTAATTTGTCAATGACTTATTCACAAATTAATTAAATTATTTTTCATTAAAATCCGACAATTATTTGATTTTGCAAGAATTTCCAAATCAATGTGATTTTCACCTGAAAAAAGACGCTAAAACACTTATCGTAAATATTAAATCGACCGCTGAAGTCCAAAAAAAAAAAAAAAAAAAAAAGTAAAATTTTGTACGTGCTAGAAAGGAATAAAACATTAATAAAATAATAAAAATTACTTCGGTCTTTCCTTTAATGATAAACATTTTGACGATAAAACTTTGTTTTTATTAAGTCCGGGGCCTTTTTTCATCACGCTCTGCTGTTTTTTTCAGCGAGCAAGTGGAAGTACCTACTTTACAGGTATCAGATGATCTTGAAGGGAGTAAAATGAAAATGAAATTTGCAAATGAATGGATTGACTACACAAAACTTATGCGTCATGATGTTTCCTTCTAAGTGGATATATTCCAGTATCTCAGAATATTAAAAATTAGAGCTAGCTCCATGAAAAGTCGGAAAGTGAATCCACAAAAGTGGAGAACTCCTAATACAAGTAAATATCAAAAATGTATTTTTCAACGATATTATCTATCTCTACCACTGTACTTTATAGATATAATACGACTAAATCGCATTTTAAGAAATTGCAAAGTATATCAGTTACTTGCAAAGAAAACGAAGTTCGAAGTGTTTGCCAACAAATTAAGAAATACAACGACATCAGAATGGAATTTCAGATAGAGCATTGCTCAAACATTAGTAATGCACAGGGGAAGAACTTTGAAAAGAGGAACTGCCATATTGGATGACGAGGCAATCAAGGCATTAACCTAACAGTATCGTTATAAATACTACAGAGGATTCGAATGTGTCTCTGTAAAGTAGGAAGTAATTAAAAAAAAGGAGTCCCCCAAAAAGGTATATCTAAGGTGGATTAGAAAGTACTCGAGATTAAATAGCAGAAACCTGATAAAAGAATTAAGAGGATTAAATGTGAGATAGATTAATGAACAACTAAAAACCAATGGGTGGATATACTATGAAAGTATTGATGAACATTTTGAAAAGCAACACATATCGTCAAACATAAAGACAGCTGATTGTTCTGTATTGAAGACCGTGTCTAAAGTGACAATTAAATTGGATAAATGTATACAACAAAGAAACAAAAACATAAAAATCAGTTCAAGAAATGTAAAAAAAAAAGATAATCGAAGAGGGATAAAAGGCAACATTGAAAGCAATACGGTAAAAGAAAACTCAGTACCAAGAATTTAAGAGACATAAAAATAGTAAGGGGAAAATTGAAGAGAAATGCGTTTTGAAAATTACATCTAAGTAAAGATTGACAACTCTCTCGATAAAAAAGTAGAAGATGCCATCGCTTCATAGAAAGAGCGGAAACAGTAAATTACATAATTAGTGATTATAATAAACTATCCCACAATGTAAACGAATTGATTTTGACATTGTAAAAAATAGTGTCAACATAAAAGAGACTGTACTAGAAAACAATATCAGAAAATACTTCGGGATTTCAACCCCGAAATCGAGGACACTAAACAAGAATATTGAATTTGATAATTATAAATAAAACGAAACGAATCAGACAGATCAAGACTTTGATTATGACTGTAGACCACAGAATTTATATGTAGGAATGTAAGACATTGGAAAACTAACAGGACTTTGGTTGGAAACTGAGAAATTAAATAAAATATGAAGTTTAGAACCATAAACACACTTGCAACTGTATCAAAAATACGGAAATTGAGATTGGATATGTTGCAAATCCGAGGAAAGGTTGATAATGTAATGAAAAGTTTGTTGGTGCCTGCTAGGATAACGAAAAGCGTGCTGGAAGATTTGGAGACGTGCTGTCAGACAATATTTAGAGATGACCACCAAACATTTCGTGAGATTAAGAGACTGATTGGCGGATTGACTGACTGAATGAATGAACGAATGAATAATAATAATAACAACAGAAATAATAATAATAATAATAATAATAATAATAATAAATATCTCAGAAACTCTTCACTATCTGAGATAATTTTTTTTACACATAAGCACAACTAAAAAAAATAAAGTCATCAATATTTTCTTCAGCAATTAGTTTACTTTCCATTTATTTTCTTTTTCAATGTTCATATGTTCATCGTTTCAGCTTTTAGTAATAAACACAAACATGCACAACTTCGATTATTATTAAAACGCGAATTATGATCTTACATGATTATTATTAAAATAAATTGGATTGCAATCTTAATAATATAAGTATATTATATTAGAGTATTTAAACGATTTTGAGTTAAAAATGCTATTTTTCTACGTTACTGTAGAACACTCACATACAAACACAAATCCAATAGAGATTAACATAAAGGAGCAGATATTCATTGCAGAACGAATTTGATTCGAAAAATGTTCCATTAATTTTCTTATTCTTTCTTTCGGTATTTTGGTGTCATTATCAATCTGTGTTTTTATTGTATTAAGATGTATAAACTATGCTTATGATTTTAACTTCCATTTCGAGTTCTTCATGGACAGACTTCCTCTGTGTTAAAGTGAGGGTGTTAGCTACAGCTCACATCATGGCACCAACTTGTTGTTTGGTACCATGGCCATTTTGATATATTTGGCAATATTTCCATTTCAAATACAAAGACACACAAGCTTATCTTCTGAAAGTTTTAGTATTGAATATGAGTTTCCTCCTCGTTATACGTTGAATATGCGATAGGAAAGTTTACATATTACACACACATATATATATATATATATGCATGTATATATATATATATATATATATAAGCAAAATCAGTATTTTATTAAATGCCATGATCCTTCTGCATGTAGACGATTATGAATCATTATAGATTCCTCTTCTTATTACCTGTGAGTTACAATGCATTCTGAATTTTCCACCTCTTACCCTGGCCGAACCCAAAATTAGAGAGTCTAGTATTTAACCCACAACGAGAGATATATTAATGTCTTTTACCAAGAGAATTAGTATGAAAGTCAATGCAAAAACATCGGCTGGAGTTTGAACTCGGCTGGTTGATTTTGCTTTCCGCGTCCTCAAATATTCTACTCCAAAATGCCATTTTTCTAATTTGCAGTACATTAGATAATAGGAGATACTTTTAAATTTATAATAGCTTTGTTCTGGCATTAACTCCTTATCAATGATATTCAGTTATTTTTTTATGATTTCATGTATACAGTATACACTTTGAATACTTGCTGAACAGATTTTATATAAAAAAAATTGCAAAATATACGGTAAAGTTACTGGTCAACGATACGAAAAGCTGAAACCTATGTTTATACTGCAGGCGAAAATAAATTTTAACCGTAATCATTATTTCATTACCTCTTCTTAGAATATTTTGTATCACTGTATTGTTAGAATATTAGGATGTTTTAATAAAAATGAGAACGAAAAGGACACTTTTGCTAAGGATCAGAAAGAGTTGAAATTTCTGTGACACATAATGAGGAAAAATGGAAACAGAAGGATGCTGGACATACCAGGGACGGAGCATGTGAGCAAGGAGGAAGTTTTAAGGAAAATGAAAATAAAAAGGACGCTTATACTTTGTTTCAGAAAGAGATAGTTGAAATATCTGGGACACGATTAAAGAGGGTTTATAGAATTTGACACTCACGGGACATTGAAGGTAAGAGAGACCGAAGGAAAGAAAGAGTAACATAACTGACTTGCATAAATAGATGGAAGATTATGGACAGGGAAAATAGTAATGGGACAAATATTGCTTCGTACTATAAAGGATACGAAATATTGGAGATTAATGATCGCCCATGTCCTGAAAAGACACAATACATAAAGTAATATATTTTAATATATCCTATCCGTTCTCAATCGAGTAATATAAAAGACTAATCTTACTACATAAATGGGTTTCTAAAAACGACAGCTATCTATCCGTATGGTTAATGAGGGTGTTGTGTATTTAAAGTTCCCTAAATTATTAGTTAATAGCACTTTTATTAAAAAGTCGAAATCATTTTATTTTTCAGTTACCATATATTTCGCATTCTGTTTAAGTTATCTCTTTTCATTTCACTTTATATACATATGTGCACGAATGCACATATAAAGTGTGCGCGTTTGTACATTGATTAGTTATTTATTTATTGAAGAGGATATGTAAAATGAGATTCAATCCTATTTCATCTTATACTTATTATAAAACGCAGATTGTGTGTGTGTGTGTGTGTGTGTGTGTGTGTGTGTGTGTGTTTATTTATTTTCCTATTTTTCAACCGAAGAAAACTTCCTGGGATATGTAAAATTACCTTGATGGTTCAATTACAAAACTCAATTTTTTTTGCATCTTATACGATTATTAATAAACAACTCAGATTAAAACCCAGTTTGTTTGTTGTGTGTGTGTGTGTGTGTGTGTGTGTGTGTGTGTGTGTGTGTGTGTGTGTGTGTGTGTGTGTGTGTGTGTGTGTGTGTTCATTTATATATGGGATCAGTTTCCTAACGTTTTTTTTTTTTGGCATAGTTTTCTTAATTTCTTGGATTTTTTTCTTTATTTTTAATTTTAAAAATTCCATTTACATTTTTATAATAAAATTCTAATCAATTGGTAGATCCATAACGATTTGTTTTTGTTTGAGTTTGGGTTTGACCAATTCGTAAAAAAAAAAAAAAAAAAAAAAAATTTACATGGATCAACCTAAACAATAAAACGATCTACCTTGTACGAATGGTTCTTTAGGGCCGTTTTATAATTCCCTTTGCAAAATTTGGTTCAAAATTAATTCAATATTTAAAAGAAAAAAAATAATTTAAAAATGCCGACGTAAGAAATCTGATAGACAAAAATATTTCGAAGATGAAAATTATTAAGGAAAGAACACAGTACTTAACTTGTACCCGACTTTTCTGCTAAATTCCTTCTTTTTTTTTTTTTTTCCTGCAGGTAAGTCTTTTTACGAGGGGCTTCTGTATGTCTTGCTTAAGGGTTTACGAGAATTTTCGTCGTTTCATCAGCGAACTTGGACTCATAATTGACATTTTAAACTTCAATAATTGTCCACACGTTGGTGCTTTTCAGGCGTTAAGGTCATCCCCCTCCTCCTCTTACGGACGGCTTCCATACACGCACTAACGCAACAGGATACGCAATATTCGCTAAGAGAGAGGGGGTATTCTCATATTCTTCTTTCACCTAAGGTTTGTGTTGAGAGGGGACGGTCACTATTACCGACCTTTCCCTACATTAATGACAGCGATATCTACCGTGATTTCCTCTTTCGCTGGCCGATTTTTTAATAGAGAGTGGAACGTCACTCAAGGTCAACCATCTCTACTGCGTGACTCGGGCGTGCTTTCACACTTTTGCGTTTATTGTTGCCCACGTGCACGTACTTGGCCTACTTTATTCGCCAACTTCGGATACCGCAATTTGTTATTACGTGTTCTAGCTGCTTTTTTGTTTTATAGTTACAACCCAACCCTACACACGTTAGCCAATTGTACTAAAAATCCATTTCCTTTTGGATTTACCCTTGGTATACCTTTTTAAATTTCCACTTTTTTAGTTTCGAGTTCCCCTTTAGTAACATCTGAACTCATTTTACTGGGTGTTCCCCTTTTTGTGTCTACGTTAGCAGTGCACGATTTTTGGATTTGTCGAAATCTCTTTTTAAGCTTTACCCTCTTTGACGTTTTTACTGTTTGGATGCCACCTAAAACTTTTGGAACGGCGAACGGCAGCTGTCTCCGATGCTAGAGCAGCGAGGGGGAGTGAAACCCCTGAACAGACTTCTTTGCGTCTTTCACCGATGGCCTCGAGATCAGCTGCTCGCTTATCTACGGAAAGCGCCGCTGCGCGGACTGAAAGGCTGGCTTCAACGGCTTCAACCATGTCCGCACGCCGCGCCAGGCTTTCAGTTGAAGAACGTTCACTTCAGAATTCACAGGACACAGTCTGCGTGGCTAGGTTGAGGGCTTCACAGTCCCCAGCACAAAAAACCCTTCGTCGTTTGCGGGATTCCACCGCCAAAGCTTGCTCCAGGGGTTTAGAAAGCCCCGAACAAACAACTTCACGTCGTCTTATGAATACTAAGGCTACAGCCGCCTCTAGAGCTTCGAAACAACCCCAAGAAACCGCTCGTCGTCGCTTTAGAAATGCCCTATCCACCGCGTCTGCCATAGCCTTAGAAAGCCCTGCACATACCACTGTTCGTCGCGTTATAAATGCCCGCTCCACTGCATCTGCTAGAGCCCTAGAAAGCCCCACACAGACCACTATTCGTCGCGTTAGAAATGCCTGCTCCACTGCATCTGCTAGAGCCCTAGAAAGCCCTGCACAGACCACTGTTCGTCGCGTTAGAAATGCCCGCTCCACTGCATCTGCTAGAGCCCTAGAAAGCCCCGCACAGACCACTGTTCGTCGCGTTAGAAATGCCCGCTCCACTGCATCTGCTAGAGCCCTAGAAAGCCCTGCACAGACCACTGTTCGTCGCGTTAGAAATGCCCGCTCTACTGCGTCTTCCAGGGCTGCAGAAAACTCTGAAGTACGCCGTCAACGGCTCGAAAACATTAGCAACTTTGAGCTTCTTTGAATGGTGTGACTTCGCCGTCTGCGTCATTTTGGTCAAATGCCGCATACAATTATGACTGCAATGTTAACTATTCCACTAGGAGAGACATACAAATAGGGGCCATGGATAAAGTTTGCACTTTTTGCAACGCACAAAAGTGGGGCAGTGAGCAACCTGGGCTTTGTTGCTCTGGATGCAAAATCAAACTCCCTTCTTTAGACGAACCTCCCCAGCCGCTTAGGGATCTCCTTCTGGGTACAGATTCGGAGTCAACGTATTTTCTTGAAGCAATACGGAAGTACAACTGTTGCTTCCAGATGACATCTTTTGGTGCGAAGGGGGATGGATGCCTACTTTCAAAGTGCAAGTCCAGGTTTTCCACTTAATGGGATCACTTTTGGCTGATTAGGGAGAGCCACCTCAGTTCCTACAAATTTACTTTCTCGCTGACTACAACGAGCAAGTTGATGCGCGTCTCGGCATTCTACCTAGCGATATTTCCGTCGGTCACCGTAGAGACATTCTGTTCCGTCTACAAGACATGCTTCACGAAACTAACAGTTACATCCGAAGCTTAAATTTTGCGTTGCAAAACAACTCTTCGCTCTTTCAGCGTTGTCATCGATGCAGACAGACGGCCTCACGGTGAGCATGAGCGTCGCTTCAATGCTCCTGCATGTAATGAAGTCTCTGCAGTCATCCACGGTGAGGAGCATAACAGCCGTGACATTGTCATAAGGTACCGCGGCGGTGGTCTGCGCCTGATCAGTGAAACCCACCGCTCATACGACTGTCTCCAGTACCCCCTTCTTTTTCCATACGGAAGCGATGGGTACCACTTCAAAATCCCAATATACGAGGCAAGCAGCCATTCCATGTCGACCTCAAAGACGATCTCCTGTAGGGCTTACTACGCCTACATGTTTATGGTGAGGGAGGGTGGATTTAACCACTTCTTCAATTCGCTGTTGACATGGCTGCAAAAATGGAGTCGGAGAGGTTAGGATTCATCAAGTTAAACCAATCCAAATTTAGAACCGACTCGTACATTCACCTTCGTGATGGTCTGCGTTCTGATGGTGACCCACGCAATCTCGGCAAAGCGTGCATTTTGCCTTCCTCTTATACTGGTGGCCCTCGATACATGCATGAAAGGACACAAGACGCAATGACCTATGTCCGTCATTACAGGAGGCCTGATTTGTTTGTCACGTTCACGTGCAATCCAAAATGGGTTGAAATCACACGCGAACTTTTTTCAGGTCAGCAGTACTCACACCGCCCAGACCTAATTGACCGCGTTTTCCGGTTACAGCTGCGTAAGCTTATGGATTTAATCCTTAAAGGGCAAGTCTTCGGACGCGTTAAGTGTCATATGTATACAGTGGAATGGCAGAAACGCGGTTTGCCTCATGCTCACATCCTGCTGTCGCTCAACGATAAGGTTAACGCAAACAAAATAGACGATTTTATTTCTGCTGAAATTCCGGATCTAGCGCTGGATCCTTTTCTCCACGAAATCTTTAAAAAAAATATGATACACGGCCCCTGTGGCGCGAATTACGAAAAAAGGTCATGTTGGTCGAGTAGCCCCACATGCGCAAAGGGTTACCGCCGTAGGTTTATCTCAGGAACGCAGACTGCGACGGATGGTTACCCACTGTAGAGACGTACAAGCCCCGCTGAGGGCGGCAGAACTGTGATAGTTAAGGGACACACTCTGGACAATCGTTGGGTGGTGCCTTATTGCCCGCTGCTGTCCAAGACTTTTGGAGCCCATATAAACATGGAATACTGCCACTCGGTTAAGTCAATAGAGTACATCTGCAAGTACGTTAATGAAGGCAGCGATGCTGCCGTTTTCGTTATCTCGCGCGACAATTGCGTTGACGAAGGTGGCCGATAACGTGGCTGGACGCTACCTCAGTAGTAGCGATGCCTTTTGGCGAATTTTCGAATTCCCCATACACCAAAGGGCTCCAGCCATTGTGCAGCTTGTTGTTCACTTAGTAAAATGACAGATGTACTTCACCGAACAAAACGCCCACTAAATGTGGTCAAACAACCAGTGGGTTCGGCGAAAGGCCGGCGACCCTGTCGAGGGTTATCCCGATGCAAGGTCTAACTCTTGCCTTGGACGCGTTTATACTGTGCCCCACCCCGCAGCCAGCAGGAGTGCTTTTACCTCCACCTTCTACTTCATGAAATTGCTGGGCCAACGAGTTTCACAGATATTCGCACTGTCAACGGCATAGAGTGCCAGTCATTGCCAATGGTGGAGGGTGAACTTTTCAGAACGCTATCACGGCTTCGAACGCTGTTCGCCATTTTGCTTTTACGATGCGAATTAAGCGATCCTCTGTTGCTCTAGCTAAAGTACAGAGAATCCATGTCAGAGGATGTTCTGTTCTCCGTTCAGCGTAACAGCCCAGGAGTTGAATGCAGTTTCACTGACTTCATATTCAACAGAGCGCTGGTGGCCCTAGAAGATGTTGTTTTCGAACTGGGAGTTGCCACTTTACCAACTTACGGTTTACCACCACCGCTCAGGGACGGTTTTGAGTTATTGCGGGAAACATCCTACTACATCGAGGGGCTGAACGCATACATTACCGAAAACGAGCCCAAACTTCTACCTGATCAGAGGGTTGCTTTCACTACCATAACAGACAGGACAAACGGCTCCAGTGGAGGTATATACTTTTTAGTTGTGCCGGGAGGAACTGGCAAAACTTTTGTTACTAAATTAGTCCTGGCAGAGTTACGGCGTCGTGGGGAGATCGCTATTGCGGTCGCATCTTCCGGGATTTCTGCAACGTTGCTACCGGGAAGTAGAACCGCTTATTCGGCTTTTAGGTTGCCGCTTGTTCTATGCCGGTCCCAAACTCCTCTATGCAACATAACAATGAATTCGCCACAGGCTGAAGTTCTGCGAAGATGCAAACTTATAGCGACTCCTCCGACCCCATATGGGTGGAGTAACCCTTCTCCGGTGAGGCGACTTTAGGCAGACTCTACCTGTTATTCTTAAAGGTACACGCACTGACGCTGTCCCTGCCTGCCTGAAGTCGTCTGCCCTTTGGCGCCACGTGGAGACTCAAACTGAGCACGAACATGCGTGTCTACTTGAATGGGGACTCCAGATCAACTGACTTCTCACTGGAACTTCTTGCTCTTGCGGAGGGGAAAATGCCATCTGACACACAGAGTTTTGTGCAGATGGATCAGCTTGCCACCACTGTTGAATCACCGGATGAATTGATGAATGCTGTCTTCTACAACCTATCCACTAATTTTGCAGATGCCGATGCCGATTGGCTTGCTGGGATGGCCATATTGGCACCGAAGAACTGTACACTTGATTCCATCAACCTTAAACTGTTGGATTGGATTCCCGGGCAATGTCATGTTTATAAGTCCATCGACAGAACTTCCGATCCATCTGAATTAGCTGAGTATCTCATAGAAGTTTTGAACTCCCTTCAGCCGTCCGGACTCCCACCTCATATTCTTCGGCTCAAAGTTGGTGCTCCGATTATGCTAATCAGGAATTTGCTCCCACCTAAACAGTGCAACAGGGCTCGCCTCATTATTAAATCCCTTTCTCCAAACCTGATTGAGGCGACCATTGCAACTGCGGCAAGGAGGAAGTCGTTCTGATTCCCAGGATGCATCTTCTGCCGTAAGACGCAAGCATACCAATCAACTTTCGTCGCTCACAATTTTCCGTGAAGCTTTGCTTTGCTATGTCGATTAACAAATCACAAGGACAGACGCTTAGCATCGCAGGTCTGCATTTACATGAGCAGTGCTTCTCTCACGACCAACTTTACGTTGGGTGCTCACGAGTTCGGTCTAAGGACAGGGTTTTTATTTACTCTCTCAACAACTGTGCTAGAAACATAATCTACACGGAAGTCCTGTAGACAACCCGCCCGGTAGCGTTTAAGCGCCATGCACACATATGCAGTCCGATTGCATGGCAATTTTTTTGTTTGTCATATTGGTTTTAACGTTAGGTCATCGTAGTCTCCACTTGCCATTACTAAGACATCTTTGTAAAGGTTATCCAGCTCTTTTGTTGCCTTCTGACTTTCATACCTTCACCCACCATCATCGCGTTTATTTGTACACTATGATAACTTCACCGTATTCATTTGCAACACAAGCTGCTAGACACATGAACACCTGCATTAGACATGATTGCTCCACTAAAGTTCCGGTTTCATTAACAGTTGATCGGAGCACCTGTAGTTCGTACCAGTGCATACAAGCACATTCACACTTGAGAAGCTTCGGAGTTCGTTTAATTGTTACAAAAGTCGAGTGCGTCTACGAAATTCAGGCTTCTGCTTCCATATACACTTTACGGCTTCCATGGGTGAAACATGTCAGCCATACGGCTCTATTGTTTTGTTTGTAGTCGTGTAAAAAACCTAAAAAACACACGCCAAGTACGGCGACCCCAGTCGGTTTTCATAAGCTCTCAGCCGTGATGTTTACTGCGACTGAAGAGAAGGCACTTCTCCATTGCAATTGAGGCGCTCGGCCATACGGCGACCCCCGGTCCGGTTTCATGAGCTCTCAGCCGTGATGTTGACTGCGACTGAAGAGAAGGCACTTTTTCATTGCAATTGAGGCGCCCGACCATACGGTGAGTCCGGTCCGGTTATATCACAGAAATTTTCTTACCATGACACCCCGTCACACACACACACACATATATATATATATATATATTTATATATATATATATATATATATATATATATATATATATATATATATATATATATATATATATTTTTTAATATATATATTATATATTATATATATAATAAAGCAAAATAAAAAGCTAAGAAGAAATTTGTTAAGGCAAGAAGTCAAGGAAAATGATAAGTAAACATTTAATTCTGTTTACTATATATATATATATATATATATATATATATATATTACTGATACGGTATATTATAAAATATATACCAACAAAAAAGGAACGTTCTAAGCTACAATATTATATCAGCCTTTTAAGCTAGATAGATTATATTCTAGGAAAAGGATATAAAATGTTACTTGATCATTTATAACTGATACTTCCATTTATTTTAACGATTTTGTTCACTAGAAATTTTATAATATAATAGCGATGGACATATTAAATCCTGCGCAAATCTCTTAAACTATCATGCACAGTTCCCAAAGAACTGGGCGAGACGGAATTATTTAAATCGGGTTTGTTTTTAAAATCAGACTTGATTATTGGTCACGAGAGTAATATCTGTAAAAACGCCATTTCGATTTGGCTGAAAGTGAAAGCTTTCTAGTGATAGGTGCTGTCTTCAAATAAATTAAATAATCTTGTCCAATAAGCATTGCAACATGTCCGTACGGAAACCTACGTGAGAGAGATTCAGCATAGTTTCATTTATTGCGCTTTCTGCCTTTCTATTTCCTGAATCTCAAATAGAATTTCATCCAAAACATGTCGACTACGCATTAGTTCAACTACATACATTATTTTGTCACTGCACAAACGAATACATCATGATTTATACGCCATATATAGTTAAAATCTACCCCTCTCTCTCTCTCTCTCTCTGTGTGTGTGTGTGTGTGTTTGTGTGTGTGGTTGCTCTTATGGACGCATTACAAATGTTTCTTGACCTAATACCCAAACATTCTAAGCTTTGAAAAATATATACAAACAGAAAATAATTGCTGCAGAAAATTAAAAAGATTAATTATTTAAAGAGTGATGTCGGAATTAAATTGTTTAGCTGTCAAATGTTTAAAACATACCAAAAATAGCCCTACCACCATAATACCTCAATGTCTCTATGAAATCCTAACTAGTCACCATATGTACATTTCAAAGTCTGTTGGGGGAGGGGAATAAAACAACAATTTAAAAGCCCCAATGATTATTTACAATATGAATTAATACTACATACAAGAAAACAAAACAAAATAAGGTTAGAAATAAAACCGCCCACAATACCCAAATATGACAGAAACATCAGTTAACTGGACGAAAAAAATTGAGGGATTTTAATAGTACAAAAACAATCATCCATCCAAAACACTCAAAAAACGCATTCAATCATCACACCAATAATTATGTCTATGAAAATTTAACTAGAATATACATTTCAAAGTCTAGGGGAATAAAACAACAATTTAAAAGCCCCAATGATTATTTAATAATAAATACTACATAAAATAAGGTTAGAAATAAAACCGCCCACAATACCCAAATATGACAGAAACATCAGTTAACTGGACGAAAAAAATTGAGGGATTTTAATAGTACAAAAAACAATCATCCATCCAAAAACACTCACACAAACACGCACCCATTCAATCACCACAACAATTACGAAAACACACGCGAAACGAAAGGCATCCCGCAACTACCAGATAACTGACATCACTGATCACCTAAAAGAGGGAGGGGATGTGGAATTGAACTAAAGAAAAATGGGGACAGAAATAAAAGGGGCCAATGAGTATACATACCCTAACTAAGTTAGCCGGAAACAGAAACTAAAGATTCAAACTAAATCTAAACAAGCCTAATATCGGGACGGGTTGCCTCTGTTCAATCCATGAAGGACAAAATCCTATACGTAACCGGCATCAAAGTGCCACTCCAGGTCAGCCTCT